CTCAAAGTGTTGGGGTTATAGGTGTGAGCCATTGAGCCTGGCCTAAATTCTTGTAAACCAAGAAGACAAGAACCAAGGTATTACATCAGCTGTTGACAAAACTTTTGTAGTTTTTTTTGTTTGTTTTTCTTTTTGCAATAAAATCTCGTTTTTAATGTACAAGTCTTTCACCTCCTTGGCTACATCTATTCCTAGGTATTTTATTCTTTTAGACGCTATGGTAATTGGAACTGATTTCTTAATGTCCTTTTTGAATGGTTAATTGCTGGTATATAGAAACAACCGGTTTGTGTGTATTTATCTTGTACTCTGACACTTTGCTGAATTCGTTTACCAGCTAGAGTAGCTTTCTTGTGAATTTTTGGGTCTTCCTCTATATAGGAATATGTCGTCTGTGAATAGTGTGACTTCTTTTTCTCCAAGGATGCCATCTTAGTCTGTTTTGTGCTGCTGTCACAGAATACCACAAACTGGGCATTTTATAATGAACACAAATTTACTGGCTGATAGTTCTGGAGCCTGCGAAGTCCAAGATTGAGGGGCTGGTGTCTGGCTTCTTGCTGCATCATTCCATGGTAGAAGGACAAAGAAAAGGCGAGAGACAGAGCAAGAGCTCAATTCTGCAGGCTCAAGACCTCTTACAACTGGCATTAATTCATTCATGAAGGTGGAGCCCTTAAGACCCAAACACCTCCCAACGCTACTGCATTGGAGATTAAATTTCTAACACAAGCTTTTTGGGGGACACATTAAAATGACAGCAGATGCCTTTTACGTTTTTCTTGTCTAATTTCTCTGGTTAGAATTTCCAGTACTATATTGAATAGCAGTGGGAAGGTAAGCATCCTTGTCTTGTTCCTGATTTAAGGGTGAAGCTTTTAGTGTTTCACCACTATGATGTCAGCTGCGGGTTTGCCACAAATACCTTTTATTATGTTGAGGAAATTCTTCTATTGCTAGTTTATTGAGAGTTTTGTTTTTAATCATGGAAGGATGTTAAAGGCCTTTTCTGTATCTATTGAGATAATCGTGTTATTTCTTTCTTCTTTCCTTTTCTTTTGAGACAGGTTCTTGCCAGGTGCGGTGGCTCACGCCTGTAATCCCAGCACTTTGGGAGGCTGAGATGGGCAGATCACCTGAGGTCGGAGTTCAAGACCAGTCTGACCAACATGGAGAAACCCTGTCTCTACTAAAAATACAAAATGAGACGGGCATGGTGGCGCATGCCAGTAATGCCAGTTACTCGGGGGGCTGAGGCAGGAGAACTGCTTGAACCCAGGAGGCGGAGTTTGCCAAAATCGTACCATTGTACTCCAACCCGGGCAACAAGAGTGAAACTACATCTAAGAAAAAAAAAAAAAAAAAAGAAGAGAGAGGCTGGGTCTCATTGTTACAGGCTGGAGTGTAGTGGTATGATCATAGCTCACTGGATTTGTGGACTCAAGTGATCTTCCTGCCTCAGCCTCCCAAAGTGCTAGTATTACAAGTGTGAGCCATCACACCCAGCCTCAAATTACAATTTTCTAAAAGCTTAAAAAAACCCATAAATATCACAAAATTCTAGAAAAATTACTTATTATTAATAGTTATAGAGCTCTATGATACTCTTTTTGGCTGCATACACTTTGATCACTTTTTCATAAGACAATGATTATACAATATCACTTTCTATTGGGATAATGAAAAGATATTTCCTCTAACATTGTTGACTCAAATTTGTTTTTATTGAAAATTTAGAAACATTTCAGTGTCTCAACTAACTCTTGGTGATTCAATGTCTCCTTTTGTTTGAGACAGGATCTCTTTCTGTCACCCAGGCTGGAGTGCAGTGGCACAATCATAGCTCACTGTAATCTTGAACTCCTGGGCTCAAGTGATCTTTCTGCCTCAGCCTCCCAAAGTGCCGGGATTACAGGCATAATCCACCACACTTGGCCTGTGGCACTAATTCAGTCTTCAAGTTAGAAGTGTAAGTCCTCTGGTTTTGTTCTGACAATCTCATTGGCTACCTTCTAGGTCACCTGCATCTTCACACAAACGTTAAATTTTTAACCTGTTAATTTATTTCTCTCTGTGTTTTTCAGACAGAATCTCGCTATGTAGTGTAGACCAGACTTGAATGCCTGAGCTCAAGCGATCCTCTAGCCTCCAGAGTAGGTGGGAACAGAACCTGTCAATTTCTTTTAAAAAGTACTGAAATTATGATTGGAATTGTGTTAGATCTACGAATCAATTAGGGTAGAACTAACATCTTAACAATATTCCATCTTCCAACCTATGAACAGACTATATCTCTCAGTTATTTTGTTCTCCATTTCTTTCTTAATATTTTATAGACATCAGTGTACAGGTTTGTACATATTTTGTTAAATGTATAAGCATTCCAATTTGTAAGGTATTAAAGCATTACAATTTGTAAGGTATTGTAAGTGAAATAAATTTCATTTATTCATGAATTTTAAATTTCATTTTCCAATTATCCACTGCTAGTTTCCACAAACGAGGTATAGCAGGTTGTATCCTGCGACCTTGCTAAATTTGCTAATTCTAGTAGCATTTTGTAGATTCCTTCGAATTCTTTTTTTATAAACAAGTCATTTGCAAAAAGTTTGATTTTTTTCTAAATGGAGTGGCTTTTCTTTTTCTTGCTGTAGGACCCCCAGTACAATGTTGAATAGAAGTGCCCTTTCCACTGGGCACAGTGGCTCACGCCTGTAATTCCAGCACTTTGGGAGGCCGAGGCTGGTGGATCACAAAGTCAGGAGTTCAAGACCAGCCTGGCCTACATAGTGAAACCCCATCTCTACTAAAAATACAAAAATTAGCCAGGCGTCCTGGCAGGCGCCTGTAGTACCAGCTGCTTGGGAGGCTGACGCAGGAGAATCGCTTGAACCCGGGAGGCGGAGGTTGCAGTGAGCCAAGATTGTACCACTGCACTCCAGCCTGGGCAACAGAGTGAGACTCTGTCTCAAAAAAAAAAAAAAAAAAAAAAAAAAAAGTGCCTTTGTTCCTGATTATAGGAAGAAGAGTGTGTTTGGTCTTTCTCCATTAAGTATTTAATATTAGCTGTGAGTTTTCACAAATGCCCATTATCAAACTGAGGAAGTTCACTTAGAGTTCCACTTTGCTGAATTTTTCATCATAAATGGTGTATGGATTTAATGTGCTTTTTGATGTGATGATACGGTTTTTCTTTTAGTTTGTTAAGATGGTGAATAAATTCCATAGAGTGATTTTTTAATGTTAAACCAACATTGTATCCCTGGGTTAGATGTCCCTCGGTCATGACAGTGTATTTTCCTTTTGTATACTTTCAGGCTCGACGTACTATTTTGGTAAGGACGTTTGTGTTTAAGTTCATGCATGATACTGGTGTTAGGCTTTCTCTAACTGCCTTCGTCGGATTTTGGTATTAGGGTAATACCAGTCTCATAAAGTGATTGCAAATATTCTCTCTTTCTAAAAGAATATTCTGTAGGATTGGTATTATTTCTTACTTAAGTGACTGACAGAATTTACTTGTGATGCCTTCTGGGACCGGACTTTCCCTCGTGAGGTTTTCAATTCAGGGAAGTTCAGCTTTTCAATTTTGAGGAAGGCTCTTGCAGAGAAGCTATCCACTGCCGAAAAACCTGCCAGCCCTTCAGGTCACATGTGCTAACTAGAAGTGAAAAGCAGTAATTACTAGATAGTAATTACTAGATGTTGGCTGTGAGAAGATTCTTACCGAGCTGCTATGCAGGTGGCCTAGATAGAATTCCACTTTGATTTCTAATAGTGCTCGACACACACTAGGAAAGCTCAAGTTTCCACCCCCGTGAACAGCATGTTCCCAGGCTCTTCACTCTTATCCCCTCTGCACAAATACGTTTCCCTCAGCAGATGCTAACTCCCGAAGCTGGTACCATTTCTTGTTTCTGGAGCCCCAGCACACAGCTCGGTGCTGGGCACACTGCAGGCATTCAAATGTTTGCCAAGGTAAAGACAGTGATCAACACTGTTGCTCATGGTTCTGCACTGATCTCAGGGTAACAGACAAAAAGGTGAGTTTCTGAGGAACTCTCTGACCAGGGAGAAGAGAAGAGATGCCTATAGGTTACCATAGCTTTTCTCTCAGTAGCCTGAAGCCAGGGAGATTTAAGTAGTGACAAATTCCTTAAGGACATTTTTAACTCATTGTAGCTTATGTAGGGTTAGGACACGAGGCTCAATCAATGTTTCTTTTTGGAGTTGTTAAAACAGCAGATGGCACTAGAATTTGTACCATGAACGCTAGAATCACTCTTCCTCTTTTTGAAGACAGAGGAAACATGACAGAGTACACACTAGACTGGATTTGGGGGTTGTAAGATCTGGACTTGAGGGACGTGTGTTTACTAACCTCAGCATCAAATGAAAAAAAAAAAACGTAAAAACATGACACACCCTGCACAAAATCGTTTACAACAGTGAGCCCAAAGAAATGGACAGAGTCATGCAGATCATGTGAGCAGAAAGGTAACAACTCAGCCTCTCTTTGGAGTAGGAGCAAATGCCACAAGGCCACCTGTAGCAAAACAGGTTAATAAAGGATTTCTTCATCCTTTCCCACCTTTCTCCATCCCTACCACTCCTACCCCATATCCTCTTGCCACTCCAGCAAAACCCAATTCACATATGTCGTTCAAAATAAGCCCCTTGGGCTGGGCGCAGTGGCTCATGCCTGTAATCCCAGCACTTTGGGAGGCCAAGGTGGGGGAATCACCTGAGGTTGGGAGTTGAGTCTAGCCGGATCAACATGGTGAAACCCCATTTCTACTAAAAGTACAAAAATTAGCCGGGCATGGTGGCATGTCTGTAATCCTGGCTACTTGGGAGGCTGAGGCACGAGAATCGCTTGAACTGCAAGGCGGAGGTTGCAGTGAGCAGAGACCACGCCACTGCACTCCAGTCTGGGTGACAGCGCGAGACTCCGTCTCAAAAAAACCAAAAAATAAAAAAATAAGGCCCCTTTCAAATCTTCCAGAACATTTTTGTTTTGAAATCTAAAAGAATGAATTTGTAATATGATTTTCAGCTACTGTGTCAGGCAGACGGGGGAGGTATTTTAAAGCAGAAGAGTCTTTACTTAAGGACCTATTTGGTCTCCCCAAATAGATGACTGTCTACTTGCAGGGCCAGACCAACTTCTCAAATTACACTTTCACTTTAAAGCATCTAGGGGTTCAAATAAACTCTCTGAGACACTTTGTTGGTATAGATTTTAAGTTACAAGCTTGATTTGATACCCTCAAATACAGTTCTTAAGGAAGATTAGTTACAAATAGTTGTCAGTACTTTCAAATGACAGAAGAAATTACATTTTAGTAAAACTGGATGAATGTTTTATGTGTGAAACAACAATCCTTTCACCACCAGGTAGAGTTACTCCAGTTCATGCAATAAGTGACTATTACATTTTTTTTTTAATTGCCCTAATTTTTCTAGTTGCAATTTCATGCCTATTTTAAGTCAAAACATCACTCTGCTCCCAAGCTCACCTCCCCCTCCCTGGGAAGTGGTGAGGACACCTGTGGTTTCTCTGAGACACAACTGGGTCCCTGATTAGCGAGGTATGATCTCAACGCTTTCATCTCAGTGGTGTGAAGGTCCCCAGGAGATCCTGGGTTTCAGAAGTGTCTCTGGTGCCCCTGGGCAAATATCACACCAGAAGTTATACAGGATAGTGACCCAAGAGGTGAACAGGAGGGAAGTTTCAACTTATTTTGACATAAAATTGGCAAAAATAAGTATCACCAAATATCTGTAACTAGAAATTGAGGATAAAACAGAAGAGGTTTGTCTATCATGAGAATGTCCGTCACAGTAGAACTTGTGAACAGCTTTTATAGAACCACTTAATATAGTACCGTCAACATTTTACATATTTTACATACAATTTGAATACAAATTCTTAAAATTTATAATAGAACATTAAAATAATCTTCTAATAAAATCAGCCTTAAGTATAAGGAATCTAAATTTCAGTATCTTGTACATTTCTAAATAAATATCTTTGATCTATAACCCTTGAAAATATTACCGTTTATGGTGACGTGAGAGAGACAAGTCAAACAGTATTATAAGTGAAAATGAAACATCAATTTAAAATAAGCAAGTGTAAAAACACGATGAATTGAAATTATAGAAAATCAAAACTCTAAGTACACAGTAATTAAATATCTAGCATTGGGATAACCAAATGCATGCGCAGTAACACATTTTCAACTTACATAAAAAGCCCTTTAAAATTCACATAATCTAAATAAATAAGCAGAAACACAAAGGGAGGTACTGTGCCAGCCAGTAACAACTAGAAAGTGAGTTCTCCCTTTTTCTTTCAAATGATCTTAACAGAAAAACAGGAAACAATGACCACTTGCTAAAAAACTATAATTCATGGTTTTTTTTTGTTTTTTTTTTTTAATGCTGCCTAATAAAGTCAAAGCAAGGCTTCCTAAATGTTAGACCACTATACCTTAGGTAAGGAAAGGCCACCTAACAGACAGATTTAAATAAAAATCAAGCATTTGTCTATGGAAGGTATGACTGAATTTTTGTGTACGGACCCTACAACAGAAGCTAGATCAAGCCCACAGTAAGAATGCACATTCAAGCATCTGAATGCACAATCTGTGAATACTGAATTCTATATGGTGATTTCACTCACCAAAGTTTGGTTTATTTTTACATAAGATCAGGATTAAAACATCTATAGCAGGAACTGTACCTTCCTTATGTTTCCATTCTGCTTCTTAGAATCTCAGAACATAACAGGTATAACCGTTTGCTGAATTGAGTCCATCAGTTACCATTTCAGGAAGCTTTGAATCCTTGCAAAACTGTTGCCTGAGACTCAAGGGGAGCTTTCGATTTTTGTCTCTAGGCCTGGGATTAATTTCTGGGTAGTTAATCAAGTTAATTGACACAAATCTGTCACAGTGTCTCATTGCAGGGTCAAGATTTCTATAATTTCATCTATTCCACAGCTGAGCCTTCTTCAAAGATTTGTGCCTGCACATCACCATTGACTTAAGAGAATAAAGATAATCTTTGCTATTCTATGTTGGGTATTTGCTTATGATAACTGCCTGAACCACCTGCGCACACACGCACACACGTGAACACACACATAATCATTTCATAAGTGGAGAACACAACTGAAGTCATGTGCAAAGCCTAAATTACACAGTTCCCAAGGTTAACTAAAAATGACACTGAAACTATAAGGTAACTCCTTTTGATTACACAAAGGAGCTGATTGCGTGATGGCGGAAAGCAATTTCTATGAACCAACAAGTGTAAACCAAAAGGCAGCTAAAAATAGTGTGGTTCCCAGACTACTCTGTTTAACTCTGCTCAGGGTACCTCATTACATTAGGAGGCAGTGAGGAGGAGATGGGTATGCTCTCCCAAGATCATTCCTGCCATCCACAATGCTTAGATCGATATTGGCCTCATTATGTGGATGATTCTAACAGAGTTCCTCTGGATTGCCACTTAAAGTTGCTATTTCTGATGTCCTTGGTTTCTAACAGAGGGGAAGGGGGAATGTTACAGAACTCCTGAAGTAAAAACTGTTGAGAAAGTTTCGCATCTTTCATTCTCACTGCCAGCATGTCTGTCTCTGGATGTTGCTAGGAGAGGTAGATCCAGTGTCTCAGCTCTGCCATTCCCTGCAGTAACTTAGTGTAATAGAAGTCCATGTTGTCTGCAAAGTCTGTACAAACAGGTGACTCCATGTCACCAAAACTGCAGTATAATGCAGTTCCTCCAACACTAATGAAAACCGTTGCTATGCACAGCAATATCAGCAAAATACAGGAGCCACCGCCAACTTCATCTGCAAACACAGAACAGAGTGAGGTTACGCTGTCACCAAAATGGAAATCTCAGCATCTGCTGTCTTTTCACCAATTAAGATAACTAGACATTTCTAATGTTGGTCCTCCAGGGATCGGAAGTAGTGACAGAAAACTCATGCTCCTAATGACTCTACAAAGACCTACCTATTAACTGCCAAAAAGATTCATACTTGTAGAGCTTGTATGTGCTACAATTAAAACTAGCTGAAGCTCATTTATACAATGAATAGAATCACTCCACGAAAAAAAGAAAAACAGCTGATGTGGCTCATAGCATGCATTAATTAATTAATTAATTAATTAATTATTTTTTAAGAGACAAGGTCTGACTTTGTCACCCAGGCTGAAGTGCAATAGCAAGACCTTGGCTCACTGCAGCCTCAACCTCCTGGGCTCCAGTAGTCCTCCTGCCTCAGCCTCCTGAGCAGCTAGGACTACAGGCCCGTACCATCACACCTGGCTATTTATTTTTTATCTTTTGGTAGAGATGTGTGGGAGGTCTCACTATGCTGCAGAGGGTGGTCTTGAACTCCTGGCCCCAAGTAATCCACATCTCGGCCTCTCAAAGTGCTAGGATTACAGGTGTGAGCCACCATGCCCACCCTAATAGCATTATTTTACAGTATACATTACAGCCTTGCTATTCTAATACCTCTGGAGTTGACATTATGGGACTACCTTAGAGCAAAGTCAACTTAATATTAAACAATAAAATGTCTTTGGGTAGGACTTCTTTTGCATCTTTCTACATTGAAGAAAACAATTATTCTTTGGTTGAAAAAAATCTTAACAACTATTCATAATTATTATTTTTTAATTTAAAAAGACCAAAACATCTTCTGAGCTGCAGCATGATGAAGGTGCAGGGGTGCCTTCTTGGAAGGTAATTTGGCAGTATCTATTCAAATTTAAAATTAACTTATCCTCAGACTGGACAATTTTGAGAGTGAAAGACAGTGTTAACTGAATGCGATTCTGGGACAACAGGTGTAAACCAGGACTGCCTCAGGCCAACTGGGACATACAGTTTCAACACATCCCAGCACATCCACCTTTAAGAATCAGGCTAAAGATCTGCACAACAAATATCATATACACAAACTTGTTCACTGCAGCAGAGTTTGTTATAACAAAAGACTGGGAATAACTTAGTTGTTCCAGTTACAACGGAACAGTCAAACAGTCATGGCACATTTACATAACGGAACATGATGCATTTAATAGAATGAAGTAAATTTAATGTTCTTTCATTATATCTAAGACTCATGATTTTTTGCTTTATCAAACTGATTTTTTCATAATTAGCATATATTTTTATAAGAAACAAATTTTATAGAACCTAATACATACTAAATACTTTATTTAGAACATTGTAAAGTAATACATGAATATATTCTCCCTGTAAAAATGCAAACCCAAAAGCATCTTAGAATCTAAGGGACTATCTGTTTTTCTCCTGCCCAATCACATTCCCTTCCCATCCCAGAGGTAAACACTGTTAAATTTGGTGTGTGACCTTCTAGATCAAACATGTATGATTGTTTACTCTGAAATTTGCATTTTAAAATAGTTTTTTTTTTTTTTTTTTTTTTTTTTGAGACAGAGTCTTGCTCTTGTTGCCCAGGCTGGAGTGCAATGGTATGATCTCGGCTCACTGCAACCTCTGCCTCCTGGGTTCAAGCAATTCTCTCACCTTAGCCTCCGGAGTAGCTGGGATTACAGGCACCTACCATTATACCCAGCTAATTTTTGTTTTACTGTAGAGATGGGGTTTCACCATGTTGGCCAGGCTGGTCTTGAACTCCTGACCTCAGGTGATCCCGCTGCCTTGGCCTCCCAAAGTGCTGGGATTACAGGCATGAGCCACTGCACCTGGTCTAAAATAGTCTACACCTATATATGAAAATATGTCTTTCATAATGAAGAAATAGGATTTTTTTTTTTTTTTTGAGATGGAGTTTCGCTTGTTACCCAGGCTGGAGTGCAATGGCATGATCTCGGCTCACCGCAACCTCCGCCTCCTGGGTTCAGGCAATTCTTCTGCCTCAGCCTCCTGAGTAGCTGGGATTACAGGCACACGCCACCACGCCCAGCTAATTTTTAGTATTTTTAGTAGAGACGGGGTTTCACCATGCTGACCAGGATGGTCTCGATCTCTTGACCTCGTGATCCACCTGCCTCGGCCTCCCAAAGTGCTGGGATTACAGGCTTGAGCCACCGCGCCTGGCCGAAGAAATAGGATATTATTCAGGCTGTATTTTTTTGTTTTGGACAGTTCAATCTTTTTGCCTGCCTTTTTTTTTTTTTTTTTTTTGAGATAGGGTTGTGCTCTGTCACCAAACCACACTCACTGCAGCCTCAAGCTCCCAGGTTCAAGCAATCCTCCTACCTCAGCCTCCCAAGTAGCTGGGAACACAGGCACACACACCACCATGCCCTGCTAATTTTTGTATTTTTTGTAGAGAAGGAGTCTTGCCATGTTGCCCAGGCTGGTGACCTCCTGGCCTCAAGTGATCCAGGAGGAAAACCTGGGAGGAAGCTTCCCAAAGTGCTGGGATTACAGGTGTGAGCCACCACATCCAGCCTTACCTGCCTTCCTTTTTTTTTTGTTTTTTTTTTTTTGAGACGGAGTTTCGCTCTTGTTACCCAGGCTGGAGTGCAATGGCGTGATCTCGGCTCACCGCAACGTCCGCCTCCTGGGCTCAGGCAATTCTCCTGCCTCAGCCTCCTGAGTAGCTGGGATTATAGGCACGCGCCACCACGCCCAGCTAATTTTTAGTATTTTTAGTAGAGACGGGGTTTCACCATGTTGACCAGGATGGTCTCGATCTCTCGACCTTGTGATCCACCCGCCTCGGCCTCCCAAACCTGCCTTTCTTAACATGATTCCTTCCCCCACCTTATCTATGTTAACAAGCTAAAGTATTTTTCTTCATTATCATATATTCAAATCCAAACATTTAAAAATAGCGTAAATATTTTAAAACATTGATTCTGTTTGTTTTATCTACATGTACTAGAACTGTCTCAATGCAACGTCCAAGGTGAGCCGCAGGTGGCTGCTGGGCACTTAACATGCAGCTGGTCCAAACTGATGGTGATACACACAGATTTTGAAGACTCAGTGTGAAAAAAAGGATGTAAAATATCTTGTTAGTAATGTTTTCATATAGATCACATTTTGAAATGATAGTTTTGATGTCCTGGGTTAAATCAAACATATTCTTAAAATTCTGACCAAGTGAGGGGGCTCCCGCCTGTGATCCCGGCACTTTGGGAGGCTGAGGTGGGTGGATCACTTAAGGTCAGGAGTTTGAGATCAGCCTGGCCATCATGGTGAAACCTGTCTCTACTAAAAATACAAAAATTAGCCAGATGTGGTGGTGAATGCCTGTAATCCCAGTTACTCAGGAGGCGGACACACAAGAATTGCTTGAACCCAGGAGGCAGCGGTTGTAGCAAGCCAAGATTGTACCACTGCACTCCAGCCTGGGTGACAGAGTGAGACTCCATCTCAAATAAAATAAATAATAAAATGAAATTCACTTCACCTATTTCCTTTCACTTTAACATGGCTACTGCAAAACTGAAAATCATGTAGGTGCCTCACATTATATTTCCAGTGGATAGCAATTGTTTAGAGGAGAAGAACTGGCCCTTTTAGGAAGATTTTGGCAGAAGGTGAGGTTTTTGAAAACATCGTGAAAGCCACAGAGCTTAGAAACAAACCGGGCGTGGTGGCTCAAGCCTGTAATCCCAGCACTTTGGGAGGCCGAGGCGGGTGGATCACGAGGTCAAGAGATTGAGACCATCCTGGTCAACATGGTGAAACCCCGTCTCTACTAAAAATACAAAAAATTAGCTGGGCATAGTGGCGCGTGCCTGTAATCCCAGCTACTCAGGAGGCTGAGGCAGGAGAATTGCCTGAACCCAGGAGGCGGAGGTTGCGGTGAGCCGAGATCGCGCCATTGCACTCCAGCCTGGGTAACAAGAGCGAAACTCTGTCTCAAAAAAAAAAAAAAAAAAAAAAGAAACAAACCAACACAATCAACATTTACATGTGGTTTTATAATTCTCAGAATGAATTTATATACATTATCTGACATGCCTTCGAGGAGGGACAGACGGCCAGATGCTTTTCTCCCTATTTTAAAGATGATAGAACTGAGTCTCCTACAAGTCAAGTGACTTGGTTTAAGATGAGGTGGCTACAAAGTGAACTGGAGACTGTGAGTCCCAAACCCAGGGCTCCTCCTGCTGAGCAATGATTTGGTCGAATGAGTGCAAACAGAAGTGAGCCCTTATCTGGAGAAGACTGAGAGTCACGAGCAAGGTGCAGAAGTAAAACCAGGGGTTAGAACATTATTTATATGGCCCCCTAAAAGTGAAAAGCTTTTTAACTGTAAAAATGCAGAAACCTCTACTGTTACCACTCACGTCACACCTAGAAAGCACACCTAAACACTCACCCTGTTGTTGTAGCAATGCAGTCGCTTTATGAAGATGAGAAGCCTACTGACAGGTTCTGGGAGACCTTTCCCTTTACTCTTATTTACCTACACCTTAGATAAACGTATCTGCAACCACAAAAGGCAGCACTGTTTGCTATAAAATGTCACCACCTCATGCTAGACCAAATCAGAGCCTTAAGTATAATAGGCCCAGGAGGAAAAAGTCAAACAATAAAAATGGTGTTAAATTGTTGCTCTTAAGTCACTCTTTTCTATAGAATGAAGAATAAATCAACGAAGACAATATTCATAAATATTTTCCACAATAAAGGATTATTAATTGTCCACTGAAAAGAAGACAAGCCAGGCCTGGTGGCTCATGCCTGTAATCCCACTTTGGGAGGCCGTGGCGGGTGGATCACTTGAGGCCAGTAGTTTGAGACTAGCCTGGCCAACATGGCAAAACTCCGTTTCTACTAAAAATACAAAAAACTAGCCAGGCGTGGTGGTACTTGTCTGTAATCCCAGCTACTCAGGAGGCTGAGGCACTAGAATTGCTTGAACCTGGGAGGCAGAAATTGCAGTGGGCCAAGATTGCGCCACTGCACTCCAGCCTGGGCAACAGAGCAAGACTATCTTAAAAAAAGAAAAAAAAGAAAAAAATAGCAGACTCACACAAAAAGTGCTAAAGAAGGAAACTGAAATAAGCTCTCAATGTTGACTATCTATGGAATAGGGAGGCCACAGGTTGAATTCTGCAACTTGATCACTTATTTAAGCATGTAAAGATTCAGAAATGATTTAGATGGTAGTTTGATTTTGTAAGTTTCTCCCTTAGAAGGTAAAGCAACCAAGTTGCCATATTCTTTTATTTATTTATATTTATCTTTTGGGAAGGAGTCTTAATCCGTTGCCCAGGCTGAAGTGCCGTGGCATGATCTTGGTTCATTGTAAACTTTGCCTCCCAGGTTCAAGTGATTGTTCTGCTTCAGTCTCCTGAGTAGCTGGGACCAGAGGCGCGAACCACCACACTCGCTAATTTTTGTATTTTTAGTCAAGGTAGGGTTTCACCATGTTGGCCAGGCTGGTCTTGAACTCCTGACCTCAAGTGATCTGACTGCCATATTCTTTTACATACCCTGTTAGTAACATCACATTGTACACTAACTCATCCTTTCATTAAACAGTGCCAAGCAGTTTACCTTGATCCAGGTTATCATCTATTTCTTGGAACCTCACTCTTCGCTTAGATGGTTTCTGCTGCATTTGGGCAGGGTGATCTCCTACAGAATCATTCCTCTTCTTTAATATTGAGACCAATCCTTCAGCAGGAACAACCTGTCAGAAATGATGAGAATCATTTGTTCTATTAAAGTGGGACATCTCAATGATATTCCACATGCAGCTATAAAAAGGCTAATTCAACAGATACTTGAATTTTTGTAGGAGTATCCAATTCCTGTAGAAAAAAAATCATCAAAATCAAACAGAATAAACCTTGCACTTCTGTGCAGATGACTGAGAAACACAAAAGTCTAAAACCTTGATTTCTTTTTTTTTTTTTTTTTGAGACGGAGTTTCTCTCTTGTTACCCAGGCTGGAGTGCAATGGCGCGATCTCGGCTCACCGCAACCTCCGCCTCCTGGGTTCAGGCAATTCTCCTGCCTCAGCCTCCTGAGTAGCTGGGATTACAGGCACGCACCACCATGCCCAGCTATTTTTTTTTGTATTTTTAGTAGAGACGGGGTTTCACCATGTTGACCAAGATGGTCTCGATCTCTTGACCTTGTGATCCACCCGCCTCGGCCTCCCAAAGTGCTGGGATTACAGGCTTGAGCCACCGCGCCCGGCCAACCTTGATTTCTTTTTTCAACCCCTGAACTGATTCCCGGGACAGGCAGTGTGAAGCGTTCAGCCGACTGGAAACCAGAACACCTTGCTTTGTAGATTGACTTCCCTGTTACTGGTAAAATGATCACCGACAGTCCCCTCTTTGCTTAGTCATTAGGACTGGATTTTGCTTTACAATGGATGCTTATAATCCACCACTGCTTTTTCATTCATCAGCAATTTTAAACTAATGAACATATGAAACTTAAAATACATCTGGATACCAAGCTTTTGACATCAAAGTGTTGTCCTCAGTTTCTCCGAGAAACTGCATTTACAAAATAATGCTCTACTGCTCAAAATATTTTAAGGACTTTTAGAATTTCTCTCAGAGCCAGTTTACCAGGAACAGATTACTTTCTAGTATGCAGAGGTTGGCAAACTATAACCCGCAGGTCAAACGCCTGTGCTGCCTAATTTTGTGAATAAAATGTAAAGGCATTTACTTGGGCTGCCTCTCTCCTGCCTACGTTCCACCCCTTATTCACAAACAAAACCAAAACCCTCACCATATAAGAGCTAAAAGACTCCAAGGCGTAGGGAGAAAGGAGAGGATCAGGTGGAAGAGCCAGGCTGGGAAGCCAAACGCCCCTGAACAGGAGGGCCAGGCACAGATGTTAACTTGCTAGTTGCCTGATTGCTACAAGCTGTAGGTGATGACATAGGCAGGTATTGTGGGCCTAACACTGAGGATGTCAGTGACTTGCTGGTATCAGGTAACTCTAAGCTGATGATTGCCTGCAATGTCATTTATCTAATCAATAGCATAAAACACTAAACATGATTTACAGTTCCAGTCAGCAATCTTTGATAATGTGCTATGCATAAATATTACAGATTCTATTAGTTCTTTTTATATCTTAGGACTTTTAGGGCCAAATAACTCAAGATGGTCTTTAACTACGCTTCCCTGAATGTGGGTCTATAGAAACCATTAACTCAAAAAAAAAAAAAAAAAAATCAATAAGCCAACAATATAGTCTTCTCTTTTTATAGAAAGTATATATTTCAGAAGTCCTTGTTCTGAGAAAACAAAAGTACTTTAGTAGCCTTGAAATGGTTAAGCACAAATATGTAAAGAAAGCCACATCATCATTAAAGAACTCCTTCACACAACAAAGAAAATACATTTTCCAAGCTCCTAGCTGAAACTGAGAGGGAAAGCAGTATTAATAAGTTTCCAAAGAGCAAAAGATGGAAAAAAATTCATTTTAATGAATACATTACTACTATAGATGTATCATTGATAATCTTTTAATTTTTAGTACATGTAAAAAAAAAGGAGAGAATCTTACATCTGGCTGTTCTAAAATTTTTTCAAAAATCTAAAAAGGGGGAGGAAGAGGTTTATTGATTCCATCATTGTCTATTTCCTCCATAAAATATTGTCATCCACTTACCAATGATGAATTCACCCACCACGGGGGTTTTCAAGGTGCTGTTATAACTACTCAGAAAAGCAATCCTATTAAGAATAGTTTTAAAGATGAGCCCCAGAGTTGTGTTACTGTTAATTGTATATCTTTGTAAGAATACTGCACCTGGCCAGGCACGGCGGTTCACGCCTGTAATCCCAGCAATTTGAGAGGCTAAGGAGGGTGGATCACCTGAAGTCGGGAGTTTGAGACCAGCTTGAGCAACATGGAGAAAACTCCATCTCTACTAAAAATACAAAAGATTAGCATGGTGGCACATGCCTATGATCCCAGCTAGCACCACTGCACTCCAGCCTGGGCAACAAGAGCAAAACTCCACCTCAAAACAAAAAGAACTCTGCATCTATGAATTCAAGAAATGGATACAAGCCATAAATCAAAAGACACTGCAAATCTGAACAAACATGTTGACAGATGAAGAGAAGCTCCTGAAGTCATGTGGAAGGGCCCAGAATGCACCACTCGAACGCAGAGCTGGTCCTGGAGCAGCGGCTGTGAGGTCCCACCTTGGCTCCCACTCGGCCTCGGCAGGGTGCTGTTTGGCTCTGGAAGTCATGCTGCTAAGGGATCTGAGCCTTGCCATGTAGCACCACCGTATTTACTATGGGTGGCAATGAACTCAGGCAACTTTTTCCAAACTCATGGGAGAGGCAGAGTATGAGAAATGACAGTCATGTGGGATGGGCTAACATTCTGATACCCACTCCCTCACGAGATCTTAATTGTTGCTAAAAACCTAACGATGCTTTTATTTTTTTTTTCCCTGCCACTAAACCCCTTTTGTTTCAGCAGGGCCTGCCCCAGTGTCTGAAGCAAAGGCGTGCGCTCTCTTCCATGATTTCCTTTCAGTCTTGCTCAGTCATCTTCTCCAGATCTTTCTGTTGTAACTGTCTTCTGGTTCTACAGCCTACAGATGGAGAACAAGGGACAGGGGGGCCAAGCTTAGGCATAGGAGATACAGGCCAAGGAGAAACTCTGAGGTGGGCGTGGTAGACAGAAGCTATCCTTTCGATTTCTGCAAGAGTTTTGGGCACAGGTCAGACTTAAAAACACAGAATTTTTTGTTACCACATCAGGGCAGTTCAACATAAAAATCTTAAGAAACAAGTTTGGTGGGGTTTGCCTTCATTTCATGCTTGATGGGCAAGTAAGACAAAATAAAGTCACGGTCTTGGTTTGGGGTCTCACTCAGAATGATTGACAAGGGTTTCTAAAATAGATCGGGCTGCTGATTTAGGGCACAGAGTAATATGTTCCCTCCAAACTATTATTCTGTTTTCTTTTTGTTTGTTGGAGACAGGGTCTCGCACCCTTGCCCAAGCTGGAGTGCAGTGGCATGCTGACAGCTCACTGCAGCCTCAACTTCCTGGGCTCAAGCAATCCTCCCACCTCAGCCTCCTGTATCTGGGACTACAGGCACACACCACCATGCCTGGCTAATTATTTGGTATTTTTTTGTAGAGATAGGGTTGTGCCATTTTGCCCAAGCTGGTCTCAAACTCCTGGGATCAAGCAATCCACCTGCCTCAGCCTCCTAAAGTGCCAGGATTACAGGTATGGGACCTGACCTGTTCTTAAAAATACTTCCATATATTTTTAAAACTATAATGCAGTATTAAAAGGTGAAGAATTTTTAAATCTCAAAAAATAAAGCTTTAAAAACTAAATTTAGTTTCCCACTTCGATTGCCAAATTCTTACCCAAACAAATATACCAAGCACTTTTATTGAGACCAAAAAGAATGTCTGAGCTATAATTAATGTAATTGTTACTGCTGGTGCTCTATGAATAAATGCAGAATTCAAAAAACTCCATCTGGCCTAGTCTTCTATATTTGCAAATAAATAGTTCTTCCCACACTTCCCCTCAAATATCAGTGAACATCTAAAATAGCATTTTCAGAATAAACTAGTTGTGAAAACAAAATTATCCTGCAACTCTTCTGGAATAGCAAATCCTAATGTGACAAGGAAAACATCCAGAGACACATTGCTGTTGGAAGTGCCTCCTCACCAAATTAAAGAATAAATAGATACCAAATAGCATTCTTTTAATGGTAAAGGTTTTACTTAATTCAGAATCTCTAGGATGGTGAATTCTGAACAAGAACACACAACTGGCTTCCAACTGATTTGAGAATTAACATTTATAAATCATATTATTATAGTATATCATAAATACTGGAAGTGCCAGCAATTTCATGTAGTGGCACATGTCAAATTTACCACCACTACTCCTAACTAAAGAAACAGGAGATACTCCCTGCCTACTCTCAGCGTTGGGTTCCATAATAAGAATAATTTAGTAAATGTGTACATTTTATGTAAAGACACTTACATAATATATCATATTTAAATTTCACAACTCTCTTTTAGTTCCTTAATTTCTTTTCTTTTCTTTCTTTCTTTCTTTCTTTTTTTTTTTTTGAGACAGAGTCTTACTCTGTCACCCAGGCTGGAGTGCAGTGTTTACACTCTTGGCTAACTGCAACCTCCGCCTTCCAGGTTCAAGTGATTCTCCTGCCTCAGCCTCCCGAGTGGCTAGGATTACAGGCACCCGCCAAGACATCCGGCTAATTTTTATATTTTAAGTAGAAATGGGGTTTCACTATGTTGGCTAGGCTGGTCTTGAATTCCTAACCTCGTGATCCACCCGCCTTGGCCTCCCAAAGTGCTGGGATTACAGGTGTGAGCCACCGCGTCTGGCCAAGATGTTATTTTCTGTGGCTATTAAAATTTTGCTCTATGCCACATAATATATATTACAATTAAAATGAGATTAACAGAACTTTCAAATAAGACTCTAGTAAAAATGCTTAACTTACACATCATCTCATTTAAGAGATACTTAAACTAAAGGCCAAATTTGTCTATCTAGAGACATGGGGGAAGAGGCAATGAGATGAAAGATCTTTGTCATTTAATTAATCTAGAAGTAGAATAATGCATTATCCTCATATTGCAGTGTTCTAAGAGCTAGTGCTGTGGGTCTGAGATGACCCACGTGTTCTTT